CATAGTGGTAGATTGTGTTATTGGAAACACAAATCACCAAAAGGCTCCAATGAGCACTGCATAATGTATTTAGAAAACGTCAACATATACACTTCACAGTTAACTGCATTTTCAGAATGTGGTAAAAAATAACAACTGAATTATGACATTTTTAGACATACTCCTCAAAACATGGGGCTAATATGAACTTATCTCCCGCACGCGTTGATTCCTTAATACTCCGTTCAAGGTAATCTTCCACGTCACGAGGGTTGCATAAGCATCTGGTAATGGAGGTCTGCATCCACTAATAAGGTGCTCCTGTAGTTCCCTTCATGACAGTAATATGGGGAATAATTATTAATTGCATTGTTTACATTCGAAAATGCAACACCAATATGATTAGTAATTGTGGCATTGAATAACCTCATGAAAGCTTGAATGATGGAAATATTAAGCATGGCACCGGATAGAAATTCCTTCACATCCACTCTTGTAATAAATGCGATCCCATTCTCATCATAGTGGAACAATGCCTTAGGTAAATTCACTTCAGTAGATCTACCCCTAGGCAACTCACTAACACGGTTGTGAAGAAAAGTACAAGCTTTAGAGAGCGAATGAAGGACATCGGCTTCTACTAGTGGAGTACAACTCGTGGCAGAACCTCTCGAACTCTTCTTCAACCCTTGTCGTTGTTCCATGTTTTGTGTAGGTTGGACATTCTTAGATTTTGGCTTCTCCACCTTCTACCTTTTAGAGGACTGATTTTCATTTGCAACATAAAAGCACATGGTTATAGAACAAGCTATTTGCAACATGTTTTAAAAATAAGCTAAGTAGTGTACACTTACCTCTCCTATCAACCTCACTTGATCACGTGGCCATTGCACAAAGCTACTTTTCGCATCAAGCAGCGTGATGAAGTCATATTCCTCTCTAGGCACTAGTAGTGGCAAGTCCTCAAACCTGGGCACTATGGAATTGATCCCGACTAAGATATACTCGGTACTAGTATTAGACTTGAAATGGACCTTGTCAAACGGTTGTACGCTACCATACCCCACCAACTCTCCATCCATGTTTTTCCCGGGGTGTAGAAGCTCACAAGGCGTCTCTTCCTACACATTTGATTAGGACAAGTTATGAACTAATTAACCAGCGTAATACAAGGACATTTCATTAGCTCTTGAAATTTACCTTAACATCTGAAAAAGGATCAGGTGTCTGGTTTGCAATCCCCCTTGAGTCTGCATGTGTAGGACTAGGAATCTGCAATAGTAAAATAATTATGCTACATAAGGCCTCGTTTGACGATATGAAGTTCATGTTCTCAACTGTAATGCAATTACCTCGCTCTCAACAAGTGGATCGTCCCCGACGTCTTTTAGGTGACTTCATGAGTCCACTGGGGTTATCGGGGGCAACGACAAGATTGGCAAGTTCATGTGCTTCAAATTGGCATTGAATTGAGTTTGCAATTCTTCTTGCACCACTTTGCGTATCTCCGCCTTAATTGATTCCTTTTCCTTGGCATCCATATGGTATGGCGAATTAACACTTGATCTAGTTCTTCCTGATCTAGTGTATCTGAACCCATAACCTTTTCCCACCCTAGTTGTTTCCCTCCCGAACTAATTACTTGCCCAGGGTGATATGGTTTTCCCAAAGCCAAGGTAAAAGGATCATTGTCTATGCTTGGAGTGAGCTTGCCTTCAACCACTTCCGACGTATGCTCGAGCTGCAACAACACAAAAAGTTTCCAGTTCTAAGTTAGATTCTATGGAAATATTTAATAATAACGGTGCAATATTAGCATAAATGTCATAGGGTGCATACAAGTGCATCTGCTACTGTTTTTGTATCCGGGTGCGTGATGACATACTTCTTGGTTTTCTTGTTGATCCCATGCATAGCACACCACCAGTCATTTGCACGACTTACCAAAGTTGTAACCGTGGACGAAAGTTGTTTCTCAGATGATGATATTTTGGATGTGGGGTATAGACCCTCTTCGATCCACTTTAGTCTATTTTCCGCAAATGTCTTACAACCCATATGATGGCTATACATTTTCTTCTCAGCATTGCTCGTAGCTTGTTGACTTTTTTCCTACACATTAACAAATGTTCGCATCATTGTCTATAGTGAGCCAAATTTAGAAAACAACTCTAATTTATATGAAACTACATACAAGTGCAGTAGTAGTTGATTTCGCCACAAACTTCTCCCAGTCCTTCACCGTTATTTGTGGATATACATCCCACGGTTTCTTCTCAGGTTCCTCCTCTCCTGCATTACCCATCGCTATTTTCTTCGGTTTATGTCTTTGTTTCTTATGGATCCATCTTATTCTCAACAAACTTTTGAAGTTTTGAATCTCTCTTGTACAAAACTTCCAAAATATTTTCTCTTGTCTGGCGATCAGGAATATTAAACACATCTATAAGAATGGCAAACGTCCATGTTAGTCAAGGGCAAAAAAAAAAGGGAAAAAAAATTGCTCGGTGCCTACACAGCTGCACAGCCAGGCCAAGCACCTGCACAGCAGCCTAGATAGGCTGCACAGCCAGGCTAGCCACCTGCATAGGAGCCCAGGCAGGCTGCACAGGAGCGTAGAAACGCTGCACAGCCTGCCCAGGCACCTGCACCACAGCCTAGGCAAGCTGCACAACAACTTAGGCTGCACTGCCAGGCCAGCCACCTGCACAGCAGCCCAGACAGGCTGCACATCAAGCCTAGGCAGACTGCACAGCTAGCCTATGCAACTGCACAGCAGCCTAGGCTGCAGGCTGCACAGCCAGGCCAGGCAGCTGCACAACAAGCTTACGTAGCTGCACAGCAGTCCAGGCAGCTACACAGCAAGCCTAGGCAGGCTGCACATTGAAAGTCATTGAAGGATTTTGTTAACTTTGGTGAATTTTGGTGAATGCGCATTGATTTTTGGTACAAAGTTTTTGGACATAAACTCAAATAAAAAACACTTTCCATTGTATCATCCCAAAACATTTGAAGCAACCCTTTAGGTATCTCGGGCCAGTCAAGTGTAATAGGTATTTTACGAATTGGTATGCCAATGTGAGTGGAATATTTGCTGCGCCATTGCCCAGTAGGGTTACCCAATTCGTCAAACTTAAGAACCATGGGTTCCTCGGGTTTCTTAAAAGCTTTTGTTGCACCCCTAACCTTTCTCTTCACCGGTGCCTTTAACCCTTCTCCACCACCGGTGGTTTTCACTTGACGTTGCGTGTGCATTTGCCCTTGTGAGTCTCGTACAACTCGAAAACAACATTATCCGTAATAGGGGGCACATTCAGCTGCTATTTCATAATCGTCAAGCCTACGCTACAACTCATCATGAGCTTGGTCTGCTGGTTCACCCAAATCTGGCTCCTTATTGATATCATACAACTCGTCATCAGATTGAGAACTACCACGGTCTTGATCATCCATATCCTCTTCGTGGTAAAGGTACTCATCACCACCCATTTTATGTACACACCTACCACCACAAGCAACGCAAATAATTAGTCATCAGTAAATACAAGAATACGCTTAAAAGTCATTGATTTCATGCTAATACAAGGTTATAGGAGCGAAAGGAGTTCAAAATGGCATAATTGAGGTCCTAACTTTCTCAACTTCCTTTTTTCATTACTAGTTCACATCTAATCTTCCTAACAACTCATATTTGGTATACAAAACATGTTTACAAGTTGATAATGCTTAGTCATTGATTTCATGCTAATACAAGGTTATAGGAGCGAACGAAGTTCAAAATGGCGTAAATGAGGTCCTAACTTTCTCAACTTCTTTATTTTCATTACTAGTTCACATCTAATCCTTCTAACAACTCATATCTGGTATACAAAACATGTTTACAAGTTGATAATGCTTAAAAGTCATTGATTTCATGCTAATACAAGGTTATAGGAGCGAACGAAGTTCAAAATGGCGTAAATGAGGATTGTTATTACGATGCATAAAAAAAAGTACCTCATTCGAGTATTCCCTCATTGTGGTCTGATCGAATATAATTTGCATTCTTGTCTACATCATTTTCTACATCAAGTCTAGGGGCAGTGAAAGGGGCCGAATCATCAAACGCATCATATTCTTCCTCGTCTTCAACATCTCCAACCCCTAAAATTCTTCTTTTGCTAGCAAGGACAATGGACCATTTTGGATCGGCTGGGTCGGTTACATAGAACACTTGCTTAGCTTGAGATACAAGGATGAATGGTTCCAAACTATCCCTCAAGTGGCCAAGGTCTACAAGAGTGAAGTCATCATGTCTGACGTTGCACCTATTATTCAGTCCAGAATGTATACCCATTTATGTCATATCCCTCAAAAGAATAAACATCTTCCTTTGGGCCATAAGTTAGCCACTTTATAGTATCAGAGACACTCTCATCCAATTTACGCATAACTCGGTCATGGAACCACGTCACAAACATCTTATTATGCAGCCGCATTAGTGCCCTTTCCCCTTTTGATGGAAATTCGGCACGCAAACTATCCATGTGCTCTTCTAAATATGGGTGAACCTCCGGAACATGATGAAGCACAAATAGGTGAGCTTGCAAGAACTGATCATGAGTAGGTGAGATCTGTTTCGACCCGAGTGTGCCATGACCATCAAGTCTCCCTTCATGTCGGAAAGTGGGAAGCCCAATTAGTTCGGCAATTGGTAGGAATACTTGCATCATCATGTGACAGTCATGGGATTTCATACTTGTCAACTTCAATTCCCTATTTAAGGAAATGAATCTATTCATGTTTGATGAGAAACCAGATGGAACCTTAATGTCATACAAACAAGCACAAAACTTTCTTTTTTCTTCCTTTGACAATGTGTAGCAAGCTGGAGGTAAATAAACCTTTTCATTCTTGCCTTTTCCATCATCTTTCTTCTTTGATACTCCGGTGCCCTTTCCTTTGCGCTCCCCATTATGTTTTTTTCCACCATCTTCACTTACCTTTTTCATTACCTTTGCCTTCCCTACCTTTGGCTGGACTCACAATTCCGGATGAACCCCCCAAGCTTCCAAATCTAATTGCGCGCTCTTTCCATCCTCTGTTTTTCCATGAATACCCATAATTGTCCCAACAACTGCATCACAAACATTCTTCTCTATATGCATCACATCGAGACAATGTCTAACATCATGTTCTTTCCAGTACTCAAGCTTCCAAAAGATTAATTCCTTTTTAAAGAGAGCATGTGGATCTAAAGGTTTCGATGTTTTACCAAAAACAGTTGGTATACCCTTCACTTGACCATACACCTCCTGTCCACTCAATGGCCTAGGCGCAGCCCCCTCTTCCACTTTTCCATTGAAGGCCTTTTTCTGCCTACGATATGGGTGATCGCGCCTAAGCAATCTTCGAATCCTCACGTACACATCTTTGCCGTAGTGTTCAAGGTACACGTTTGGTGTGTCATCGATACAAATAGGACATGCTTTATGCCCTTTGTTCTTGTACCCGGACAAGTTGCCATATGCGGGAAAATCATTAATGGTCCACATAAGGGATGCACACAATAGGAACATCTCGTTCTTATGGGCATCAAAAACAGAAACTCCTTCGTCCCACATCTTTCTCAAATCATCAACAAGGGGCTCGAGGTAAACATCTATGTCATTTCCAGGTTGCCTTGGACCCGTTATCAAAAGTGATAGCATTACGTATTTCCGTTTCATGCACAACCATAAAGGCAAGTTGTAGATCACTAAAAGTACCGGCCATGTGCTATGTTGGGTACTAAGAGTGCCAAATGGATTCATACCGTCGGTGCACAACCCAAGCCTTAAATTTCTGACTTCATCACCAAATGCCCTGAACTTCATATCGATGTTCTTCCAATCCGGAGAGTCAGCCGGATGCTTCAGCAAACCGTTTTTCTTTCTTCCCTCTGCATGCCATCTCAAGTTCTTAGCATCTTTTGGTATTGAAAATAGACGCTTGAACCTAGGAATGATGGGAAGATACCATAACACCTTAGCAGGAGATCCTTTCATACCAGCATTGCAGCTCTTTCGCTTGTAACGCGACATACCACAACGTGGACAATCTTCCAACTCTTCATATTTATTTCGATAAAGAACACAATCATTAGAACATGCATGTATCTTCTTATACTCCAAACCAAATGGACACATGAGTTTCTTTGCATAATAGAAGGACTTAGGAAGTTCATTCCCATCAGGCAACATGTCACATAACAAAGTCAACAAAGAAGTAAAACCAGTGTCGCTCTAGTTATGCTTTAACTTAATGTTAAAAAGTGTTACCATGGCTGAGAGTTTGGTGTATTTTTTGGACCCAAGATACAAAGGCTTTTTGGCAGTCTATGATAATGACTCAAATACATCACATCGGTCACCAAATTCACCTTCAACATTATGCATCATCTCATCCAAGTGATCACCACCACCATCCTCGATCTCATCCCCCTCCTCATCCCCATCTCCACCATCATCACTCCCATATTCATCTTCCGCACGAATCTCGGCACTTTTATCGTGCTTATCATTCCCAACAACATTCTCCCTATACGATCCCTTTTCACTGTGCCAAACCCACACATGATATTGAGGCCTAAACCCATGACATACCACATGATCCCTTATTGTATCAACACTGTCGACCATTGTGACATTGTTACAATTGACACAAGGACAATAAAGGTCATTCACACCCGTTCTAATCAGATATTGTGAAGCACTCTCGTAAAACTGTTGGACCCCATTAAAGAATTCATTCCAACATATCACGACTACCATACATCCAACCGTGATCCATCGACGTTTTAAATTGCCTTTACACATACCAACACATTACAAATAATGTATAAATGCAACATATATTATGTCAATCAAAGTACATAGTATATATTTATATCGTTCATACATATAGTGTAAAAATGAATGCTCCCAAAAGGTCCTTATCACTCCAACCTAACCCATCCTTGAACGTTAATATCACTAGTGAATGTATGTCAACTTTCCAATTTTAAGAAAAATCCGGCAGCATTTCCCCCCAGTTCTCCAAGTACACAACGTAGGTAATTACTTACCTACATATGCACCCAGAGAACATGGTGAAAAAATGCTAAGCCGAGATATTCCTTAAAATCGAAAAAGAGACATACATTCACTACCTAAGTGAGATTAAACGTCTAAGAACAGTCCCAACCGTGGACTATTCAAGACTTCCTCCTAATGAGAAGACTTGAATGGGTATCTAGGCAAATGATGATGCAAGCATTCAATAATTTGCATTTATTTGACACTTAACAAAACACAAGTTCATTCATTCATATAATGCTAATTGGACTACCTACAAGCAAACTAAGCTTACTTACAATGCATTCATTAATTCATCAATTTTTAGCTACTCAAATTCAAACAACATATAACATTATACAATCAAGGTAACAATTAACATTATGTATACAAATAATTAATAAAATAATTAACATATAATATGATTAACTAAAATTAAAACCCTAAAATTTGGGAAATTATTGAGAAAAAATAGATAAGGTAGTAAGATTAGGCATAAACTCACCCTAATTTGAGAGGGACAAAGAGAAGGAATGCGGGATCGTGAGAGGGAGAGATGTGATGGTGGTGTCGTGTGATGTAGCAATAGCAATGTCGAGGGAATGCAAGACGAGAGGGGTAGCAGGGCTACGTAGCAGCAACAACAAGTGCCTTTGGTGTGGGCGACTGTGGTGGAGGAGGCGAAGGTGGCTGCGATGGTCGCGTCGTGAGTGGAGCAGCAGCAGCAATTAACAATAGTGTGGAGCAGGGCTACGTAGCAGCAACAACCTATGGAGCAGCAACAACAACAATGAATAACAGCAATGGTGGTGAGAGTTAAATAAAGCAGCAACAACAATGGTAATGGGGGTGGTGGTGGAGTGCTGGTGTTTGAGAGGGAAATGAAGGACACACGCGAAATGAAGGAGTTGAGTGAAACTGAGAAAGCAGAAGGGTATGTTAATCCCGATTTTTTTTAAAGAAAAGGCAGCGGTTTGAACCGCTTCCCTTTATACTTTTGGGAGCCGTTCAACCCAAACCGCTTCCAATTAGTGGTCTGATGTTTTTTTTTGGGTTTTTGGAGGGATTTAGAAGCGGATTTCAAGAATCGCTTCCTATTTGGGTTTTCCCATTACCTTTTTTCTTCTAGTGTTAGATACACTTAATAGTTGTTTTTTGATATCATAAGTCAAAATCACACATACACCTTAAATCTTTCATACATTAACTACGCACGCATTGCATGCATGTAGGTCAGGACCAGTATTATAGATACAAAGATAAAACAAATACTCCATAAACGTAAAATTAGATAGATTGTATATTTAAATTTTTGTGTTGAATGCTTGCATTGTGTCACTATGTGATTTTTCTATTCTTTTTTCCTTAAAACTACCACAATGTTTGAAAAATGTAATTCTTTCAATTATTTTTTTTCCTTTTGTTATTAGTTTACTTATTAATTTTGGCATCTAAAATTATAAGTTATTCTCAATAATTATGTTTTTGATATATTGTGTCCCCTCTAAGTTTTCTGGTATAATGTTTCTTGTTACAATTCAAATTTTTCTTCATTGTTCCACAAGATTAGTAAAATACTCAAAATTTTGATGGTATTTGATTAAATATATGTTTGTTTTATGCAAATGTATGATTTATATGTTTTGGTTCATTTTCTTTTATGGTTCTTGGTTAAAAAAAAAAAAAAAAAAAAAAAAAAAAAAAAAAAAAAAAAAAAACAATTTTATTTCAATAAATTACTTAGATATATCTAAAAAATTTAATTTGATTGAAACTAGAAAAAAAAATAATATATAAATAAAGTCAAATTGCATATTAATATTTCTATATTAACATTTTTATAAATACTTTACTTATAAATTTTAATTTCAAATTCTAGGACTATTTTACTTCCAAATTTCATATCATTATAGCAAGTAAATGCTTGTTGTATTTAGAAATAAGATAAAAAAAATCAATTATTTAATACGAACTACTTTTGTCTCAAACAATGAGTATGTTTAAAATGATGAAATTTTCCCTTAAAAAAATGATGAAACTTTTTTTGTTTGTTTGTTTGTTAAAAGTTACCAAAAAGGAAATAATTTGAAATTATTCTTGTAAATTTGTCTAAATAATTAATTTAAATCTTTTTATTTGATATAAGGTAAAATAAAGTATTCCTAAAAACAATAAATTATGTTAAGCCTAGCATATCGCTAGGCATGTTGAACACTTGTCCAAGAACAAACAAATTTAGGGATCAAAAGGTACTTTATTATGTCTCCAAAAGTTCTTCTAGTTTGGAAGCTAATTGTTTCATAAATAAGACCTTTTAAAGAACAACAGAAGAAATAAAAAGGAGGAAAAAAAGATACTATACTAAAATTGATTTCTAATTCCTTTTCTAAATAAGGCCCATATAACTTTGCACACATGAATTGTGCACTTTCTGTTTACTTTGTTATTTATTTAATCTGCCCAAAACGAGGAATTTTCGGAGAAAAATTAATTGGGTAGTTTCTTTATATGTCATAACTTATTTGTCATTATTATTGCCTTTAAAATGTCATGAAAGAAATTTTAAGAAAATCCTGTCAGAATTGGTTAATAGTTCTAATTGAATTTGTTTTCTTCAACGTGTTTAACGTTCGAGAAATAAAAATTCATCACTTCTAAAATTCAAGTAATTTTTGTATGAGATAAGCGCACAATCAAACAGAATTGACTGTTTAATTGATTGATTTGTATATGTGTGACACACTTGAAAAATATTGATATATGGAAAAGTATCAAAAAAATTTATGTGGCCATTAATCTATAATCCTATCATTGATTTCTTAACATATATAACTTGTTCATTTTGAATTAAAAAATTAATTTCATTAATTTCATGCTTACATATTATTACATTTAATTTTATTAATATTAGTTAGGCATGTCAGTTATCATTCAAAATCAGTTACATTTTTTTTTATTTTATGAATTGTACTTTGTTTTACCAAATTTATTGGGTATATGATACATGTGACCATGACTATCATGCCATTGGTGAATGTGAGAATAATTTGGTAACTTAGATGATATCAATGTTGTATTATTAATCACATAACTCAGATGTGATTTGGTATTAATTGTTTCATGTTATAAAGAATAAAAGAGAAGATGATGAATTGATGATTAATAATTAAGGTAGATGACTTATTATGAATTGATGTAAATTAAAGATGTAAATTTATTTTGGGTTATATGTGGCTTGAGCTCTCTTCCTTATTGTTGTATTGATTATCCAAACATATCACTTGTTCATAAAAGTAAAATTCACATTATTTATTTTAACTCATATTAGTTTTTCTTTTTCCTCTAAGTAATTAAGAATATAGTTTGGTTAATAAACCTGATGCATCAATTTCTGTTAATTTTTAAACTCATCACTCCTATGACATTTGGCATGAAGAAAAAGCCTATAATAGTATGATAACCTAAAGAACCTTGTTATATATCCAATCAAGTTATCCCCTCCATCTCACTCTCTTTTTCTTACCACTCTACTTCTGTCATGGATTCCATCACTCTTTATCAACTCCACCTCTTCCATTCCATTGATCGTGATCTCTTTTCAAGGCTAGTTACTACTTTAAAACAACAAGCATCTCAAGCCTTGTTGATCATGGCTTTTTTGTTTTTTCTAGAAGATGCAAAAGATTTCAAAATCATAACAAATTTAATTGGGCTATCAGATAACCTTCTTGTTGCTGTAGTAAATGAAGTTGCTTTGTGCATCAATTGCCTGAAAACTAAAACTCTCACAACTCACGGCGGTAGTCTTCATCTCTTGTCAAGAATGATGGACAAAGAAATATCCTTGAAAACAATTTACGACATGAAATACACCGCGATTAGTGGTGTAAAAGTTTTTCTAAATGATGTTTGTGCATGGATATTTACTGACATTTTAATAAAAGTTTTACCAATACCCTCTAATCTACACCTCAACCCCCCTCTTTTTGTTCCTGGTTTTCCTCATCCTACCTTTGGTTCACTTGAAATTTATCTCCTACCTTTAAATTCTATAATTCCTATCAATGGTTTATTGGGTTCTAATAAAAACATCGAAGCTCCTATCGATGATAGAACCCTCTTCCTCACATTTTCACAAGGTTTTCCAGTTTCCGAAGGGGAAGTAAGGCAATTTTTCACAAAAATGTGTGGAAATTGTATAGAGAGCTTTCAGATGGAAATAATCTTTAAAAATTCATCAAAAGTACAATCTTTGTATGCTCGATTGGGGCTACGCTCTGTTGCCTACATGGATAAAATTATGGGTGGAAAACACGTTGCTAAGTTTCGTTCCAAAGGTAAACACATTTGGGCTAGAAAGTATGAGCGACGAGATCCCTGAAAAGGAAGCTTGAATGGTTAATGTAATAAGAAAGTTAATGAATAAATTTGATATAAAATGTTTTGTGTCCTTTTTTTAATTTTTTTTTAATTTTTATTTTTCTAGTATGCATGTGTACTTTTTCTATCATTGTGATTCTAATAATGTTGTGTGTTGTTATTATTAATCCATCAATCTATTTAATTGTTATTTCCTATATAATAATTGTTAGATTTGTGGATCTATATAATATATTACATCACTTTTTTTGACATATATGCATATTATATCATGTCAAGTCACTGACGATAATTTAATTTATATTAAATCCCACTTTTACTTTTACGCACATAGCGAAAGATAAATAACAAAAACATCATTTGGAATTATTTCCAAACTATTGTATATATATATGCTAGTATTTTCTTGATGCTTTATATTTGCAATTTTTCAACTAGAAAAATATTAGGAACAATAATTACACAAATTATTACTCATAACATTAAATTAATTTATATTTTTCTAAATCCATTGACCTTATAATTTGCTAATACATCATATATATCTAAAAAAAATAAAATCAATTTCAGTATTCACGAGTTTCCAATTTTGGAAACAAGATTTATGAAAGAAATTAACTCCGCATTGATTAATTGTTATATGGGAATTACCTTTCAATATTTTGATGGATAGGTTGATATTTATAAGTTGTGATAGATGGTAAAACTTCTTAAATTTAAGGATGCATGATTGCAACTAATATTTGATGTAAAAACTATCAATAATAATGAGTATTGCTAATAATATAAGAAGTTAAATAAGAAACAATACTTAAATAAATGATGGTTAACATGAAAAATTATTGAATATCTTTCAAGTCGAGAATATGTGTGTAAGAAATTAGAATTTCAAAACTACCTCCTTCATTTACCTGTTATATACACTGAATCATATTGTATGGTGCAATTATTTACTGTGAATAATTCTAATATATTTTTTTATCATTAGATTAATGCATTGTTGTATTCTCTCTCTCTCTCTCTCTCTCTCTCTCTCTCTCTCTCTCTCTCTCTCTCTCTCTCTCTCACTCAAGATGTTTTAACTTTTTAAAATATATATTCAGTTAATTAACTAACTCCAAAAAATCCACCTTTCTCAATCATTACATAAGATAAGAAATCTAACTTATAACAATTTTGACATTCAATAGTTACGTAAGATTATGTTACAGATGTTTCTTAAAATGTCATACCTAGATCCCTTTAATACTAGGTGTTATGTTTGAGTACCGAAAGTAGTTTAAAAGTATTGTTTTTTTTAAAAAAATTTGTCGTCATTCCTATTCTCGAAACTGTCCTTTGTACTTTTTAGCTTGTTTTTTTTCTTTTAATATAAGCCCTAATCTATATGCTTAATAAAAATGCATTTTATAGAAATAATATAACTTTATTAAAGAAAAATACAATAATTAGGGACCTAAAGGGTATGTTATCCTCAAATTAGTAGAATAAGTTCAACCATAAAGTATTTTGACCTTGTAAAATTTGGTCTTGTTTGCATGGCATATTTTTTTTCTTTAGTTTTTTGATTTTTGGAAAACAACAAATAAAGAATAGGAAACCAGAAAAAGGTGTTTGCACTTTTATATTGTCAGTTTTCAAAATTATCATGATTTTAATAAGTTTGACCAACTTTTGATTTATTATATGACATATATCATATATATGATTTTGAAAAGCAAATAACCAAAAAACAAAAAACCACATCAATACGAAACAAGTCCTTAGTAAATATCAAACAAAATAGGTAACTTTCAACAAATGTAAGCTAATATTAGTGAGAATTAAATTAAGAATAATAATAACATAAGAAGAAAAATTCAGCAAAATAAGTTTAAAAGGATAAAATGTAGGAAAATTTAACACAAATATTCCAACATTTTCTACATTCTCTTTTAACAATCCAACATTTAGATTATTTTTTAATAAACTAACCTTAAACCCCCCCCCCAAATTTATTTCTAATATATCTTACCGGTTTGCTGACTATTTACTCTAGGTAAACTTGCCTACGTGGCAATTTATGCACATATGGGAATAATAAAAAAAAAAACCCTACCTAGTCAGCTACACCCTTCTCTTCTTCTTCCTCTGCTATCTCTATTTTCATGTTCTTCCCTTCCAACTTTTTTTTCTCGTTAGCACAAACATAATGGCAGGTGGTTGAAGGGGCCACAACAACATACTTAACAAATCACCATCCTCACTTATATCACATTGCAATTAGCAACAAAAAAAATTAAAAAATAATAAAAATACAAAAAAATAAAATTAATTCACTCAAATATTGATATACACTAAATTTTCATATTAAATGTCTAATTTAGTAATATCAAACATGATTTTAACCTTAATAACAAATTAAACCACAAATTTAAATTGTAAGTCACATACCTTAATTGGGTAATTCCAGTGTCGCCGTCTTCAACAACTCCGATGTCGTATCCCTTTGCACCTCTAATCTGAATCTAATGAAGTTGAATGGCCTAATTATTTTTCTTTAATTACTAGAAGTTTTGGTGAATAATGGAGAAATGGGTAGAGGAAGAAGAAAGGGTCATCCAGTTAGGAAGGAGAACGAAAAAAGTTTTTTTTATATGATTCCAAATAAGTAGTTTAGCATTAATTGAGGGCTATTGATCTTTGGGAGGGAAATTTAATTCTAGTTAGCATTGATTAACTACAAAAGTTTAGGAGTAAATCATAAAAAATGAAATAATGTTATTCATGTCAGCAATATTTATGTATTTAGCCGGTTTCAAGTCAAAAAGGCTTATTTGAATTAAATAGGGGGTTATGGTTAAATTATTAATGTAATAAAAAAAGGTTACCAAATATATGTTAAATTTTCCTAAAATATTTTTTTATTGTTGTTTTAGGGAAGAGAGGAAAAATAAAATATTGTATAAAGTTACCAAATATGGAAGTGATGCAATAAAAAAAAATGCAAAAGTAGCAAGTGATGCATTTGAAAATGGGGGGAGTATCATCTTATCTGAAATTATCAAAGCTTACAAACCTTGTTAAAACTTATTAATCCTTATCTTAAATTATCTAACCTTATTAACCCTTATCTTATTATCTAAAGTCGTCAACCCTTATATTATCTTACTAGGGTTTATTATCCCTTATCTACACTTATTGTACCTTAAATACGTGAAAATAAGGTAAACAATAACAGAGTTTAAGGCCCTATTTTAGAATAATTCAGAGTACGAAGATAAAATTCATGTTTGTTAGTTTAATTTGCTTAGGTTAAGGTGTAGCAAATTAATTAACAAAAGATAGAGCAAGAACATACCCATAGTAGTAGCAACAAGCATCGCTCGATCGAACGTGAGAACAAGCGAGGAAGACGTTGCTGTGCAGCTCGATTGGGCCATGGATGCCTGATCGGGCGCGTGTATAAGGTGATTTATTGCCGCCCAACCGTCCAATCGGGTAGCAGTTGCTCGATTAGGCCCACACACATGAAATCTCACTGGGTTGTATCGCCCATTCGGGCACCCATCGCTCGATGGGGCCCATGTATTTTCTGAGAATGACGCTGACTTTTGTTGACGATTATTCTTGGTTTTATTTTCTCTATATATATACTTCTTTGTATTTGATGAAATATAGTGAATGAAATTAGATTATCAACTTCTATTTTTCATTCTCTTATTTGTGTATCCAATTTTATTGTTCATCATCACAATTTACCAAAACTTGCTTACATTGTATTGCAATCATCCTACTTGTAATTGTAATTGATCTTTGTTGTATCTCGTAAATGACTTTCGTGATACCCAGTTGTAGTTTAGGGTCGAAATTATACTATTGGGATACTAATCCCATTCACTTCTCGAAGTATTTCATTTATATCATTTCCATTTTTCTTTGTGATCCTTGATTACTAGTAAAATCCCCAACAATCCCAAAGTATAATTTATTACAAAGATGACAAATGTGAAGGAAATGATGACTAATTTCCAGAAATTGGACAAGTTCGAGGTGTGGATTTTTAAAGGTGGCAAAAGAAGATGCGTATTCTATTGACATCGCTCGGTGTGGCTTATGTTCTCACATCCCCAAAGCCTTTGGTAGAGGAAAACGAGATGTTGGATGCCACTAGAAAGAGGAACAAGTAGGAGAATGATGACTACTATGCCGTGGTCAGATCCTTAACGATATGTCTAATGAATTTTTTGATGTTTATCAATTTCATGAGTCCGCTATATTGCTTTGGGATGAATTAAAGTTTAAGTATATGGCCAAGGATGCACCTAGCAAGAAATTTCTTGTTAGTAAGTTGAATAATTTTAAGATGATTGATAGTAGGCCAGTTATGGAACAATTTCAAAAAATCCCAAGAATTTTAGGGAGTTTTAGGAAACACAATATCAATCTTGTAAAGACCTTTATTGTTACTTATATAATTTATATACTACCATCTCTTGGAAAGACTTTAGAAATGCTTTAAAGCATAAGAAAAGAAGATAATAATCTAAGCATAAGAAAGATGATATTAATTAATCTCGAGGGCTTAGCTTATCACATTAGGATTGAGGAGGAAATCCTAGTGCAAGAGGGACAAAAGGATATTAATCCTAGTTCCACCACTTTTGGTGGAGGATACTAAGTCTAATGAGAGGAACAGAGGAAATGATTCAAACAAAAACAAAGGCCAAAATCCTAAAGTGGGAAGTGATGGTAAAAAATCGCGAGCATGTTGGGTTTGTGGAAAACCCGGTCATTTTAAAAAGGATTGTACCATTTGGAAGAAAAAGATGAGCAACAAGAAATCTCAAGGTGGGAAAGGCGAGTCAAGCCAATCCCATGACAAGCAAGGTAATACTTGTGCACAAATTTCAATTAATTCTTTAATGAGTTATTTGTGTGTGATTTCTGAAATCCTATGTATGTGTACAGGGTGATACTTCTTGGTATATCAATTCAAGAGCATTAAGGCATGTTTGCAAG